AATAAATGAAATTTCTGAGGAGCTGCAGCTGCTTTATTGATTTATTTATAATAAAACTAACTTCTTAAACTGTTAAACTATTTGTTAATGAACTTGTCCATTGTAATGTCACCTTTTACGTATTAATATAGAAATACACTTGATGTGGCTCTTGAAATCTAGATTTATGATCATTTTATCGATATAAAATGATATAAAAGAATCCATGAATAATGTAGCAGTTGGAGTGAAATATTATTAGCTAGACGTATAGCTATGATAGATACATTTTACTCTACATTTTACTTTATATGTGACTGAAATTCATTTTTAACAGGGCTCCATGTCAAAAATGCATTCAAGGTAAAAGAAAAAACAACAAATGCATAACAAGCACTAATTAGATGTTCGTACAAAATAACCGAGTTAAACCAGTCTGAAAAACGGGATTTTTAACTCTTCAGCCTTGTTTGATGAGGTTATTGCAGGAATTATTTGACCTGCTCTGGTGCGGTTCCGAGCGGACCAGTTAGGCTCCAAGAGCAGGAAGTGGACTGCAGCACAGGGCATTCTGGGTAAATGCAGCCCTAACAACCCAGCATGTCTACAGTTAGCAGGAGAAAGGATTTATGTTTTTATTAAACAAAAGAGAAATCCTGCAGCCACTAAAATCTGGCGTGACTCCATTTTTGTTTGGTTTTGTGAAGAAGGAAGTTGCTCTCAGTGTCTTTTGGTTTCCTTCAGTTGTTCTTGGTGCAGCGCCCCCACAGGCGAGAAGGGGAACAGGTTGCTCAAAGTGCTGCAGAGTTGTGACAAATGTCATTTTAAGTGAACCAAATGGCCTCAAGTGAACCATATGGCCTATCAGAAGGTATGAGAATAACCCTGTGGGCCTCATTACATGTACCCTGGAGCCGTCTCAGGTGTAAAGAGTAAAACTCTTTGTAGGAATGAACAAACCGATTCGGGTCCGTTTAGAAGCGCCATGATTTGTGAGTTCATAAATCTGCTGAGATAAAGCTGCTGTTGTCCTGCTTTCCCCATCTAAGAAGAATAAACTTGTACAAATTAATCCCGGCTCTGTTTCCGATTAGCCAGAGAACAAAAGTAACGACCCGGCAACAAGCCACCAGAGACATCAGTTTGGGATTATAACTCATGTTGGTTCGCTTCTCCTTCACATGGGAGAGAACACATCGCAGCACAAACACAATACCAATAAAAACTTGACTTGCTGGAGAGCTGAGTCACAGTTATTAGAGAAACAAGTGTTTCCTATAACAAACCTCCATGAGTGTGTTTGGGTTCTGCAGCAGGGGAAATGTATTGTCCTAAATGGGAGCCACACGGTTGCTCTGTCTTTGTGAAACACAGCCTGAGTTAATCTGCTTCTCTATGGGAGATTATCATCCACATAAATACGACCTAATAAGCTGTCATGCTAACACTAAACATGTGTCTGTGACTACAAAGAGATTTTGCAAACTAGATATTTCAAACTTGATTTTGATTTTCTCCTCTGGCCAACAAATACAAAAAAGGCAAAGAGAGTTCTGGTTCATTTGGTTCACTATACATCAATCAAGAAATCAATTTTCCCAGAACTTTATGAGATGAGAGACTGTAAAGCAGGGGTGTTCAAAGTGTGGCCTGGGGGCCTTTTATGGTCCTCGGACTGATTTTGTTCGGCCCCTCGCTGCAATTCAAAAGTGATAGAAGTTTGGCTCATGGATGCAAATGGAGACTTTCAATTTGTAATCAGGATAACAATTGTTATCAATAACTACTGAAAAGCTAAGTTTGCTGCAGCCAAATCAGCTCTTATAGTTTCTTGGCTAAATATAGAAAACATTTGATAGAAAGTGACTAAAAACCAGTTCTTGTTACTGAAAATATATTTAATCAGTCAAAAGAAACTGAAAACTAGACGTCCTTCTTTTAATAAAGCTAACATGCAAAATTAAAGTAGCAGTAAGTAATACCATTTCTGCAAAAAAAAATTTAGAATATAAGAACTTCTCTACAAAATAAACGTGAAAAATTTAACATTTCAAATGTCGACTGAAAATGTTGAAGTTTTCACTCGAGTTCTGTTGTGGTTTATTTTAAAAAAATCAACTACGCAACAGCACAGGACCTCAGGTTAGTAAAACTTTGACAAAAAGCAGAAGAAAATCTCTTGTTAGAGAAAAATAAGAGGCTTCATCTGAGGATAATAACACATTTAGGTACATTCAGTTACATTTACTTCACTGACCTTTTGAAAAAATGTACTGTTTTCCTACGCTGTGCTTTTTTCCCCTGAGTAACTGTATTGTAAAGTATCTCTACTTTTAACCAAAACACCTGCAAATGTATAAACTTTTATACATTTATTGTGAAAGAAACTGAATTGGAAAAAGTTTCTTAATTTTGTTTATAATATGAATTCTTTTCATTTTTGTCTTTAAAACAAAAGATTTCCACTTAACCTTATAATTTGGTCAGTCTGTTGATGTAATTTTTAAATATGAAATGACTGATAATTTACTCAGTTACTTGATAACTTAGACTTTTTTACTTTTACTTGAGTAATTTTGTTTGTGCTCTACCACCTCTGGAGACGGAAAATTAAAAAACTAAAGCAGTGAAATCTGGGAGTTGCTTCTTTTATCCCAGATGTGTCCAATCCCAGAAGATATCTTCAGAACCTACAATATGTCGATGATAATGATAAATACTTCAAATGACACGCCTTATAATGTGGATAAAGTTCAAACACTCGATGCACGTCTGAACTTTTAAAGGAATTGCTGTAAAAACCAAAAACATGCTGCAGTCTCATCTTCTGCTTTGTGTCTCACAGTGCCTTGTTTTGGTTTGATGGGAAAGTCAAAACCAGCTGCCACGTTTAATTTTAATCCGTCTGGGGTTCATAATTAATTAAATCCAGAGTTGAATCCAAAGCCAGGTGCTGTCACTTCAATACTTCTGTCGCTGCTGAAGACGCCGAGCGCACATTGTTTTTTTCTCCTCCCTTTTTTTACAGCCTAAACTGGGTTTGACAGCATTTACACAACAAGAGGCTTTCAAAATATTTGCAGTCGGAGCCTCCACCACAGAGAACAAGATCAAAGCGGATCCGGAGCGAGAAACAGCATGCAGGCGTCAGACCTGAAAGAAACCTCGGATGGTTTGCTCCTTAATGTAGCAGAACAGGTAGCGAGGTGCAAACTGAGCACGTTTTTTGGTGTTTCACGCATTTTTTGGGGGGTAGAGTGGGTGGGAACGAGGGAATCCCTTTCCCTGCTTGCATTTTGTAGGCTGTTCTGCCATCATGGAACCACAAATGGGAACAGTCTGGACAGATGTTGGTTCCAGATGACGCTCCGGAGAAGAATGCAGCGGTTGAAAAGGAGCGTGATGCTGCTAGCCTGGATGTTCACAGATTGATGTGCAGCCTGCAGTTTACTCTGCAGGAGAGTATTAGCAGCTTAAAAGCTGAATGCTGGATGTCAACTTTTTAAACCCTGAATACGTTTGTTTTACTTCAGGGGAGTCCAAAGTGCGGCTTGCAGGCCATTTGCGGCCCTGGGAATTATTCTGGGCGGCCATTATCGCAATTCAAGTTGAGTCCTGAAGAAACTGATTGGAAGTGGGACTATTTTTCACAATATTTATGTTTGTGGTTCTATGAAAGCTGTGCCATACAGTTACCTAAAAATCAATAATAAAAATGTGTCTTATCTTAAGCTTTATTGTGTGCTAATTGCTACTGGCTAGTCTGAAGGAATTGTGGGGGAGGGAAGCAACATAATCCTAACTTCCTTCTTTACGGAATGAAAGCAAAAATGAAGTGGTGGCTGATTTAAATTAGGATTTCTCTTTTATCTGTAGCTAAAGACCAGGAGCCATTTCCCCCACTAGCACTAGCCTAGTGGGTTTGTTGTGGTAGTATTTACCCAGAATGCCTTGGACTTTAGTCGACTTCCTGCTCCTGGCATTCACATATGCATTCAAACCACCTCAGAGTTCACTTCAACCAAACTGAGACCAAGTTTTTTAGATGGACCATAGTTTTCTTTTTTCACCCGATTACGCATTCACACTTCTTTATATGGACCGGACTTTCTGAGGAAACGGACTGGAGTTTGTTTAAAGCAAACCAATCAGGGCTGGTGTAAAAGCAGTCTAAGATTATATGTACACCTACATACTTTTGGTGAATTAATATTTAGTTTGGAGAATATGAAATACCGTGGGGGAGGGGGACAAAGTTCAACTGCAGAGGGGCAGTGGCCCCCCCTTTGCTCCTGTGTAGATCCGCCCCTGGATGAATGTTGAGCTGAGACCAGTAACGACTTTCTGAATGGCAGGAGTCACAAAGTTCTTAAAGCAGTGTCTAAACAACCGTAAAAGTTCAAAACAAATGATTAAAAATCAGAAACTAAATGTTTATCTCCAGGCATTAACTCGACATGATCATCTCTAACAGAAGCCCAAACTGCAGTTTTCTGGTGTTTATTGGGAAGAGATGTTAGCTTGAAGAGGTTTTTATGAGTTGGCTTTAAAAAGACAAAGGTTATTAGATTCTTCAGTTCTTTTTATTATCTTTATATTCGCCTGTGATGTTCACAGGGCAGCAGTAATAAAGACCAGCTGGACCAAACCTTTTATAGGGAGGGAGCTGCTGTTATAGAGCATTTGCGTGGCTGGACTACTAATAGCCACTCGATGCTAAAGTTACTAAACTTTATAACTTTGGTTTTATAATACCAGACGACCAAATATGACCTTTAAAAGGTTAGATGAGATCTGTTTCGTGTGATGCCAGGAGAGGATATCTATAACATTACAGCGCTGAGCTGGAGGAGGCTGGAATGTTTTTAAAAGGTCCAATTCCCCCCAACTTGGCATTATTAATGGCACGACTGCATCAAAACACAGATGTCGGCAGTTCACTAAACAAAGATGCACAAACAAGTTGCGTGTTTTGCTCATTTTAGCGCAGCTGCTAACACTGTGGGATCTTTCGCTCTCACCTATGGGACATTTTTCTTCATCCTGCACCTTTGTGTTTCACGTTGGGGCGGACAGACCGACGCTTTTTCAGTCGCTTTCCCGCTCTGGCTGCTCTCCCGGACCCGGGTCTGCTTTCCCCATCTGAAACCACAGGTGGCGCCGTCACGGACGCAGACGCTCCACTCGCTCCACTCTCCCAGCGGAGGCAGGGGACAGACCTCTAGACAAAACAAATAATGCAAAACAGAAAAGACGTGAAAGAAAAAGTGGTAATAATGTATTAAAAAACGCTTGGAAGCGGGGAGAACTCTGGAGAATTTCAATTAAAACAAAGCGCACGCTTTTCAGTTCTTTAGTTTTTTATCTCAGGACATCAGTCATGGGCAAATTTTCGCGTTAGCAAAGTTCAGCCAATCTTCGCTTCCCCTAAATCATTTTAAAATTCTAAAGTGAAAATCTATTCGGGCCACTCTAAGTAGAAAAAGAAAGGACGAGTAAATTTCCACCAAAAAAATTAGAAATCTTGAGATTGATCTAAAAAATATTCAGGAAAAAAACTCCCAAAGCTCCAAAAGTGAAAAATTTGCAAGAAAAATCTCAGAAACTTAAAGACTGATCAAGAAAAAACTTGGAAGTTTTTGGGGTTTTTTTGGGCTGTCAACATTAACGCATTAATTCATGCGATTAACCTGAACATTTTAACACATTGATATTACACACTGCATGTTAATCAAACTATTATTTTGATCTGAAAGCCTCTTTCCTGGAGGATTGTCTAGTTCACAGCTGCATTATATGGACCTAGTGATTAATCGTGATTAATCACTAGTACATTTTTAATTGAAAGCACAAATTTTTATGCAAACTTTCCTTTAAATGTGTTTTTTTAAAGTCAGAATCATGTAATCAAATCCATTATGTATAGACCCATAATATATTTACATGAAGCAGTTGAAAAAAATGGCATTAAATATGGACAAAAACATAAAAACAAGCTTGGATATATAAATGTTGAAGATCGCTTATTACAGAGAGCGAATGTGACAGCAAAGATAAAATAAACTGCAACTATAACTCAGCATTGGACTAATGCATAAGATTTCCCTGGATTTCTGGCAGCAACTGTGCAATTATTTAAGGTAGATGAAAGCCAGCTGAACATTAGCTGGTTACTCAGGAAGAGGGATGTCATGCAGCCTGCAAGGCCATGAAAAACTCTGCAGCTTCAGCCAAACGGCGCCCACGTATCTTTATGATCGTCATCACAGCCGTCAGATTTGAAAGCACAGGCTTTGTTAAGGTGTGTACCCAACAGTTGGACGTAAAACCCCAACAGCACCATTAATACCAGATGTTGCCTGACTGCCAGAAAAGAACCGTAGCTGCAGATGTTGCAGGTGGATGGCGGAGGAGAAACGAAAAGCATCAAATGATGACCGAGTTCAATCATATATCTCACTTACGGAGAAGAGAGGAATGAAGCCCCAAACCACTCTGAAGGCTTTTAATGCGTATCGTGTGTTATGTTGAGAACCTGGCCCCATCCAAACGGATTTAACTCAGATAAATACAAACGAGTTTCCAGGTGACATTGGGAGGCTAAAAACTAAATCAAACGCATGTTAAACAGATCCCAATAGGCTGTCATTTAAAGGGATTATGAGTCATTAGGACCCGATAAGATCAACATGAAACCTGCAGGTGAAGTCACACAGGCTGTTTAAGGTGGAATAAAAACGGCTGAACACTCTGAGTTTCTCAGCAAAAGGAGTCTGCTGTTAATTATGCTACCAGCTTTAGTTTCACTGATGTCTCTGTTGGAGAGGGGAATCTTTTTAAAGGTGGCATAGATTAGGTCAGAGCCTGCAGTAACCTCATGATTTTTTATGTTAGCAATGCAGATATGGGTCTGTCGTTTTCAATCCTTATGCAACAATAAGACTGGTTATTTCTGATATATTCCTTTTTCTTTTTCTTTCTTTTTGTTTAGAATTTTGCTATTTTTTTTTGTAAAGTGTTGCATATTTGTCTGGTTTTTCCCAGGATTTTGCTTGTATGTTTTTACTTTATGATAGTTGTAACCACATTATCAAGGTATCATTTTATTTTTACAGCTGGGAGCGGCTGATTAGCATCTCAAAAGCCGAAACAATATCAGAGCCATTATTGGTGTGAGTTTACACTCAAATGTGAACTACGACTACGATTAATATCACAGTCTAGTGCTGTGATGAATCAGAGCGCTAATGATTAATCACAGATTAATCACGATTGGTGTGATTAATCGTGTTATTCATATCATTATTGGATATCACTGGGATTAATAGCACACTGATGTTATTAATCTTATCTGATCATCACTGAATAGTGATATTCATATCATTGTTAGACATCTTGATTATTTGTACATGTCTTAGCAAACTAAATCAAAAAGAAAAATGCATTTGGTCATTCTTCTTCCTAAGGCAACAAGATCTGAATCTTGATATGTTTTTAGAGGAAATTAACCTGGCTTGGAATTCCTGCTGCTTAACAAAGAAAATACATCAGTTATCTGTAAATATCTCCAAATATTGCAGTTTTTTACTTACCGAGGCAGTCTGTCTGATGAGCGAAGGTTCCCTCTGGGCAGTGGATCAAACACTTGCCTTTGTGCAGCTTGAAGCCAGGCTTACACTTGGTGCAGAAGTCCCGACTGAAACAAAGCTCGCAGTCCAGCGAGCGGCATTCTGGGAGAAACAGAGCGCCAGATAAACATCACACACTGAAAATCTGAGTTTTACCTGCAACCTGCAGCTCCAGAGGCAGGTTGTGGCTGTTTAAGATTATTTTTAGTTAGAAGAATTTACAATTTTGATTCAGCTTACAAGAACTAAATATCTGATCATAAATTTCAATAAACATCACAATCAAACTTTTGTTTTGAACAGCGCTTAAATAATGAGGGAAGGCAACTGTTGCTTTAAAACTAATATTTGCTTTAATAAAACTCGCAACATAAGACACAATAACCTGCCGCTAAGCACCCTGGGAAATATTTCCTAATCCCGCTTTTTTCGTTTTTAATTTTTTTAAGTGCCAACTTAAAGACCCTTGTTTACTTTTACAGATATGACAATCTTAATAATGTTAGCACAACTTACTACTGCAAGTTTATCTTTCACAAACTCACACATTTAAAATGATCAAGATTTCTATTACTTGAAGTTAGTAGAACAATTAAAATATTCCAGGAAACCCAAACTATAAGAGAGATGAAATGTCATAGTCTTTGTCCAGGATACATTTAAATTGTAAATCTTTTTTTCTTACTTCCCTACATTTTGTGTTTATTAAAATGCCACATAGCCTCTGTTGCTCTCCACACCAAAAACTAATTTACAAGATAAATGCAGTAACTTTGCATGGAAACTCATGCTGAGATATTGAAGGTCTGTTAAAGTGAAACCTGGAGACATTGGTACGATTCATTTAGTGCAATGGGAAACATCACTAAACATTACTGCGGGGAAAAAAGCTGACCAAAAATGCTGGAACTCAGTTTGGGTTGCTAGGTAACAGGCAGAACTCTGCTGGGGTTGCTAGGTGACAGGCGGGACTCTGCTGGAGTTGCTAGGTGACAGGCGGGACTCTGCTGGAGTTGCTAGGTGACAGGCGGGACTCTGCTGGAGTTGCTAGGTGACAGGCGGAACTCTGCTGGTTGCTAGGTGACAGGCGGAACTCTGCTGGGGTTGCTAGGTGACAGGCGGAACTCTGCTGGGGTTGCTAGGTGACAGGCGGGACTCTGCTGGGGTTGCTAGGTGACAGGCGGAACTCTGCTGGGGTTGCTAGGTGACAGGCGGAACTCTGCTGGGGTTGCTAGGTGACAGGCGGGACTCTGCTGGGGTTGCTAGGTGACAGGCGGAACTCTGCTGGGGTTGCTAGGTGACAGGCTGAACTCTGCTGGGGTTGCTAAGTGACAGGCGGAGGGGTTGCTAGGTGACAGGCGGAACTCTGCTGGGGTTGCTAGGTGACAGGCGGGACTCTGCTGGGGTTGCTAGGTGACGGGGAAGCAGGGTTTGTTGGGTTATTACAGGAGTATTTGGTTCATTTGGTGATTACCTAAAGAAATAAACGCAGATCGGCACATTTTATTTAAAGGTGGTTTCTGTCCAAATATAACGACTTTTGGGCCAGTAAACATAACGTGATACTCATGCTAAAGTGTTGCGCCACCATGGTATTTAGCAGCAGTTACTGCTAAAATGCCGACCTCAATCCAACTACATCCTCCCTTTTAAGACTTTTACGTGTCATGTTTAGATCTTCTTCTCTACATTCCAAAGTCTTTTCTGTCCTTGTATGTTTTTTGTTTTAAATAAAATTATTGGAAAAAAGAGGGAGAACTTAAGGAGAGGAAGCAGAACTGCTGCGTCAAATAACAGAATGAATATAAACGGCTAATCAAATTATAACAGTCGATAGCCAAAAGTTGAAAACAAATGCAACACTTTATTAAACTAAAAAAAATAAGTGAATCAAAGCCTTAGAATTGATCTGGAAAATGTTATTTAGAGGAAGCTAAGTGTGCTAAACATTTTCAGTCATTTGTAGACTACACAAAAAATTTCCTTTACAAATTAGCTTTACCGATGTCCTATCGGCCTTTATTTCACCACTAAGTGGATTTAATCAATCAAGTTTCAATCCATGAAGTTTATTTGTACAGCACATTTCAGCAACAATGCAGTTCAAAGTGCTTTACATGATAAACATTTAAACTCAAACTTAATGCTTTAAAAAATCTTTTCAAAGGGAACTGGATGGAAGATTTAAACAAGTGGAGCAGTTAGGAAATACTTTCATCAATTTGAAATGATGAAAGTATTCTGCTCAGGGACAACTTAATAAACTGAATACCAAAGAAAAACTTTAAAAGATTAATTGAACTATTGATCAAGACAGTCAGGCTGATTGAAGGTAAAAGCCGTCCTGAAAACGAGTCTTTTCAGGTCTTATCTTTATAAATGAATGTGTTTCTCTATAACACATTTATACGTACTCATGCAGCGGTTCACATCCCTCCCTCTTTGCCCAAAGTGTCCGGTTGGACAGGAATGGAGACACGTCCCATGATGAGACATCCCTTTCCTCTGGAGAAACAGGAAGAGCCGCTCTGGGCAGCGTACACAGCCGTTGTCCCGCGAACACTCCAGACAACTCTGACAGTCTTCTGACGTCTCTCTGTGAGCTGCAGGAAGCACATTAAGACAGATCCGGATTATTCGAGGAAATATTAAAACAAAAATAAGACGAGGGCAAGAAAGGAAAGCAGGTGGGGAAGGAAGGCTCCATAAATCCTCAAGATGCAGAAGATCAGCATCTTGGCTCTGGGCTCCATGGAAATCCTGGACAGAGCTGTTTGAAATACTAAACTGGACAGAGCTGTCTGAAATACTAAACTGGACAGAGCTGTCTGAAATACTAAACTGGACAGAGCTGTCTGAAATACTAAACTGGACAGAGCTGTCTGAAATACTAAACTGGACAGAGCTGTCTGAAATACTAAACTGGACAGAGCTGTCTGAAATACTAAACTGGACAGAGCTGTCTGAAATACTAAACTGGACAGAGCTGTCTGAAATACTAAACTGGACAGAGCTGTCTGAAATACTAAACTGGACAGAGCTGTCTGAAATACTAAACTGGACAGAGCTGTCTGAAATACTAAACTGGACAGAGCTGTCTGAAATACTAAACTGGACAGAGCTGTCTGAAATACTAAACTGGACAGAGCTGTCTGAAATACTAAACTGGACAGAGCTGTCTGAAATACTAAACTGGACAGAGCTGTCTGAAATACTAAACTGGACAGAGCTGTCTGAAATACTAAACTGGCAGAGATGTCTGAAATACTAAACTGGACAGAGCTGTCTGAAATACATTGAAAGGTTTCCACATGTACTGGAAGTGAAACTCCTCTGCACCTCGAATTCACTCCAAGGTGACCGTTATGCTTCCTTCAACATGTTAGAAAATGTTTACTGGCCATATAAAACATGTTCATTACAGTTTTTCCACTAAATAATTTTTAGATATTAATATTTTTATGTGTTCAAAGTCCTGGGACTCAGATTTGGTTGCTAGGTAACAGGACTCACCGGCTTACGAGGTGAAAGGTCAACGCTTTCTGGTTTGTGACGTTACATTCTGGACGTTTTTTGAAATGTCTAATTTGATAAAGCATCAGCAGAGTTCCTGAATTAGGAGATTGAATTGTTTTTGTTTAAGTCCGTACGCCAGGATTCATAAATGTTTTGTTTTTCAGTTTCATTTTTTTCAATCAAATGACCACCTTGTTTTAACACTAACAGTTAAAACACAACTGATGTGTTAAAATAATTTGACACAATAACTGTGTAAATGAGCATGATGATGGTGCTAAATAATTTAACACATTTAACGTGTTGAATTATTAATAATTAAATTATTGATACAGTAAACGTGTCAAATGAACACAAAATGTGTCGGCCTCATTTAGACACTATTTTGTTGAGTTTGGAATCAATTTGTGTCGAATCAATAAATAAATCTGGCAATATTTCAAAAAGGTGAGGTTAATATTTACAAACAAAGAAGGTTTTTCTTAAATGCAAAATGTATGTATTTTTTTTGTTGGAGTTTTTGGCTTAATTACTGCTCTGTGTTTTTTTTTTTTTTTTTTTGTCTTTTTGTGTCTGTAATCCAGTTAACTATGAATCGATTAGTAAATTATTTTCAATAATCATGATTAATCTGATTGATCACTCTGCCATAGAGCTATGTGTTTTTGAGCAGGAAGTGAACTCACGTGGAAGGAGGAGGCTTCCTGCTGCCTCCTCACGGTAAACCTCCAGATGCTCGCTGATGAGTCGGGCGAAAGATTTCCACTAACACTTTCCACCCAGTCTGACTCAGCTGTTTTACAAACCAATAAGTGCAAAGCTGAAAACACAGAAAATGCTTCATGTCTATAAATGTAAGAACAAATGTTGGTTTAAACAGTGGAATAAATTGAGATTCCAGGACAGAAATCACACTGGAAACACCAGTGATGTTGTTTAAGGTCTTTTTTTTTTTTGCAAACATACTGGGTGTGCTTTACATCTCACGGAGAGTCCATTCCATTTGGGTCTCTACTGCTTCTAAAGACAGACTATGCAGTTAAAAAAAACAAAACACCCAGCTGGTTTTAGGCCATAACTTTTTTGGTCCAGTAATCTCTGGGTTGTTGAGTCACATTCAACACGTACAGCGCCGATACCGAGCAACCCCAACGTAACTGGAGCATGATTAGTTTTAGTGTTGCATGTGCTCTATAATAGTTGCTGAAAAGACAAGTGTATTGTTGTTGGCTTACCACCGGAAACCAATTTGCTGCATACCTTTTGGTTGTGCAGGAGGCTTCACTAATGCTTTTCAAAGATGTGCGGTTGTTTAATTGCACATCTGTTTGCAGCCATTTTCAGGTGTGAGAGCAAACATTGAGTTGGGGGGCCAAGGCCAGCAGCTGCTTATTTGGATTGGAAGAGCAAAAAACCCTAAAATATAGGCTGAACCAGACTAAAGTCTCATTACCTAAAAATGTTTTTGTGCAAAAAAATGTAATGAACATGTGTACTATCACCCATAAACTTATCCTAAGCTGTTCTAGGAAGAATGATACATTGATTGAGAAGTTTTGAACCAGGAAGCATCCAAATCAGTGGCCTCCAAATCCTCGAGAGTTTCTATCCTGTGATTCCTCCCTTCAGAGGCGCGGTAGGAAGCCCGGCTCAGAGGCGTTAAAGAAGGGAAGTGTCTTAAAGTAACAGGAGAGAAGATCTTCAGGACTGGAGAGTTGATTTTCTTCACCAGAATCAGGGTGTAAAAGAAAGACAAATTTTCCAACAAACAAAAACAAAAAGTCGAACCAGAACACATCAGTCAAATGTCCCGACCCAATTCTCATTTCTTTACATTTTCCTTCCTTGCTCTTCAGCAGCGGTTTCTCAGAGTCTTTCTTTGGACTTTAGCTGTTTTGTAAATGATTTCCTTTATGAACTATTTCACTGCAAAAACACAAAATCTTACAGAATGTTTTTGGTCTAATTTCTAGAGCAAATATGTCAGTACATTTGAACTAAGACTAAACTAACTTACAAGTAGCTTTTTAGCGAAAAAAAAAAAAAAAAAAAAAATATTATTTATATATATATATATATATATATATATATATATATATCTGCCAGTGGAAATAGTATTTTTTTAAATCAATATGAAGGAATTATTGACCTAAGAAAAGCTTCTTTATCTTGCTAATAAGTTACTTGTAAGTTAGTTTTGTCTTAATTAAAGCGCACTACTGTTTTAGACCTTGTATTTTTGCAGTGTTCGGGTTTATGTACAAAGCAATTTAGAAGAGAACTAACCATTTTAAGACAAAGAAACTGAAAACAAAATACAGCAAATAAATCCTTGGGGAACTACATCTTTGTGTGCCGTAAAATTGATCCTCTGGATTTTATTGGTTAAGAAAATCAGACAGAAGCGATATATTTCTAATAGAGGGCTTGCCACAATATAACTGAAGATAAAAATTTAGGTTTCGTTTTTTTTTTTCTTTTCAGTTTTGACTAAGAAGGATGGCAAATGACTGAGAAACAGCAAATGCTCCAAACTATTTGGAAACGACTCAAACGTTTCATGCAGATCTGTAATTACTTTAGGATACTCTGGGTTAGTCATCGTGTTTAAATAATCTGGGCTCAAAAAGATGACGGATCTGTTGAAGAAGTTCAGAGTTCGGGGCGGATTTTCCCCCAGAACAACCGCTGAGGTCTCAACCCAGCCATCTAAAATGCCGCTCCGCACACATGTGCTGCGGATCTGCAGACTTAACAGACTTTCAGAGGAGCTGCAGGTTTAGGTAGCATAAAATCGTGACCTCTGAACTTGCATGGGATTACCCTGGGATTTTGTTTTTTCTTGAGTACGTGTGTTTTATTTTAACAAGCTCCATGTGTAACAAGCTCAGTCAGTGTTTCGGGAAAAACAGGAAGGAATTTTAACCTGAAACTGAATTCACTGGAGCACCACAACCAAATATTTCACAGATTGCAAACAGTTTACTTAATGAGAGTTTTGATGGGTTCACCCTCCTCTGTCACGCTGCTAAAAGTGTTAATTTATTTTCAGGTCAGACTGTCTGTGACATCAATCAGCAGTTGTTAGAGTAGAATTCCCACAATGCATCAGGATGCGTGTATTAACAAGAAAAAGGTGCCAGCTGCCTTGCCGTGTTAAAATAATACTCACTGTGTGTGTCTTTAATAGCCTTTCTGCAACTGCAGGCAATTAATGCCAGTCGGGTTAGGAATGCTTCCTTACTGAAAACTATTTTTTACCCGTTCAGGTGCAGATTTTTAAATTGTGTTTTAGGAATTAATTTAGTTGAAAGGCCAGTAAAGACTCGTGCTCACATGGAAAAAGCTGATGGGATTAACAAGGGAAAAAAGGAGCCAGCAGCTGCTGATTAAATGCAGCCGATTTAACAATAATTATCAATAAATGTGAGTTTTAGCAGTTTGCTGCTTTTCAGGAGCAAGCGTAATGTCAGAGTGGAAAGAAATTAGAAATTCCTGTGGGTGGCATTAAAGGCTTTTTCAAAATGAGTTTGATTACCTCAGGAGAACAGCTTAGACTGTTTTCATTAATTTAAAGGTATTTAACCAGGTTAGAGTTAATATTTTACCATGTGTTTTTGCTTTCATTTAGTATCAATATCTGAGTACGCTTGAAATAAAACAACAAATTTTTCCATCAAGATATAAAGTCAATAATTTCATAAACTAGTCAAAAAGTAGTACTTGTTTCAAATGCCACGTTTTTGTTTCTTTTTTTTTTTTTTTACTTTAAACATGGGAATTAATGTCTCGCTGAAACTTAAATAATGAAGTACTTTTTCATCAATATTAACCATGACTTAAAAACCTGAAAAGCTTCTGGTTAGTTTTCTCTTGATTCAAGTTAATTAAGATAATTGTACTGGAAACTTAGACAAAAAATGTGCTGATGAAGTGATTTTATCATGTTCTAATTGTTGATTTGGTTTAATTTTTTTCAGTGAAAGTAGAATAAAGCAAACAGTGTACAAAAATACAACGTTGAGTGTTAACGTTTTGAAATTTAGAAGAATAATTACGAAAGAGTGTTTTGGTATTTTGACAGCAAAGTGTCCGAGTTGTACCTGAATGCAGCATGCACAACACGGAGTTCCGGTTGACCAGGCACTACGCTAGCCCGGTAGGCTAATGACCGACCGCTGATTGTCTTCAGTTCCTGTCATCCTTACGTTCAACTTGACGTTGTTTCAGGTGAGTTATGCAGTGACATTCTGGTTCGGTTCGCCTTCTTTCTCCACTGTTGCAGCACAAAGGACTTTAATGTCCCCAAATATCAAATTTATGAATGAGCGGGTTTTGGTGTCACTTTATAATGTTTCCCTGCAGAACGTTGCATTGCGTATTAAGTTCCGTACGTAAATATTAAAACTGTTCGAGCTCAAAATATCAAATTCATTGCAAACAGCGTATTCCATCATCATATGGTCAATAATTGTATTGATCTTTTTTCCTTGAAAAATAATCAGTTTTTTATGTAAATTAACTTTTGGAAGTGAACACACATCTCTGATCATTTTATTATATTTGAAAAAATAGTATTTATGATACCGTCTTTCTGATTTCCTTCCAAATAAATCAAACTTTTTCATCAACTTTGTTTTAAAGTTCATTCGTTTTATTATATATTTTTTTTGATCTAATCAACAGCTAAAAAAATTGTAATTAAAAGACACCCTTTATTTTCAAAATGAATATGAAGTTTAACAATTGAATATTTAGGGCCAGAAAATAAAAATTAGCCACCAGGGACTAAATTTTTGCCCAAAAAAATATGGAGAATAATTTCACATATTTACAATAAGAAAATGTCAAAAAGTCAACATTTTCAAAGAAAGATTTGACTTTTCCCAAATTAACAGCATACATTTACTACTTTAAACCTAAGATATTTAATATTTTAAAAACACTCGTAAAGATAAAATGTTACCAAAATGTTACTCAAGTAAATGTAACTTTTTACTACCCATCTCTGGACATGATTTCATAAATATACATATATGAAAAATATTTTTTCTTGTAATGAGCAAAAAGTTAGAAAAAAAATAGTGGACAGACATTGTTGCTGTTTCTGACAGCCTACATATATGTATGTATTTATTTATGTATGTATATATTTACACACACAAAATTTGTGTATGTGTGTGTATATACACAAAAATGTATAAATTTTGGCTGGCAGAAACAGCAGTAATGTTTGTCCAGTTAACCAGTTCATTGATGTTGGGAAACAGTAACATCTCACAGAAACTACTAGGAAAAAAAAGTAAATGTTTTTTTAATGTCTTGCAGAGTGGAAGTTAAAGCAGCCCACTGGAAACACTTTGTCTCGTCTCAGTTATTTTTCTCGGTGTTTCTCCTTTAAAAAACAACCACAGATGCTCGCAATTACCTAGAGTAACCATAGCAACAGAAAGCCAGCCCTGATGGACAGAATAATGGGCTCGGCGCCCTCTGACCTCTGCACCGCAGCTTTCACACTGAAACACAAAACTCCTGCTGCTTCTGTTGCTCCGTTTCTGTTTTAAGAGGCAAAAAAAGAGGAGCCAGGTCCAGATGGGCAACTCGAGCAGACGATAAAAAGTAGAAAATATCAGGCACAGATAACGGAGAGGGGAAACGTAAACCAACGCTGCAACACCTGCCAATTATCTTTGGTTTACATTCAAGTTCAAATGTATTATCACACTTAAAATAGAACACATATAATTTACAAGATACAGGAAGATACAGGAGCTTATTTAGAGTCTATAATTTCTTAATATTGATTTTAAAAAGAACTTGTTCCACTGGCAGATTATTTCACTTGTAAGAAGGAAAAATGTTTTCTTATAAGTGAACTAATCCAGTGGAACTTGTTCTTTTCTATTAATATTTTAAATTAGCGACTAAAACAAACTCCTATATGTTGCTAGAAAGTTGCTTGTATTATTTTATTTTACATTTAATAAGATATTTGCACAGCAGCACAAGTTAAAGGTTTTGAGTTTTTGCAGTGAATAGATGGATGCAGCTTGCCTTTAGACTCCTTCACGTGCCTTCAGCTTTTACTTTTAAAGATCGTCAAATTTTACAATAGTTAGCATGACATCATGGAGGTAATTGTGTTTTTACGGAGGCGTTTTAAGGTAGACCGATTGTGTGATTGGGACAGGATTCTCCTCCATTATTACCAAATTCTTGAGGAAATGCAGGTCACTAGTGAGCAGCAACGTCGCCACATACCTGTCTGGCTGCAGCGATTTCAAAAAGCAGAATCATTGGAGTCAAATCTAAACCTTCACAAACGAGTTGGAGAGGCCAGCTGCACATTCAACAACAGCTCAGGTTGAACATTTTTTAAGGAAAAATAGCATAAATTCATATTTTTATTCCAAGTTAGCTATAAATAGATGTGAAGAGACCTTGGGTTTTGTAAATGTAAAGAATAAACACAAATCAACGTTTTTTTGGTCTACCTTCGAATGCAAATATCTTATTACGATTCAAATAAGACAAAACTATTTCACAAGTTCAGCAGGAAATAGGAGCTTGTTATAAGTTAATAGTCCCTTAATATTGATAAAAAGTTCTAGTACCACAGGTTTGTTTCAATTATAACATTTTACAAGTAAACTAGAATAAGCTCCTCTTTCTGGCTGAAAAGTTGCTTGTAAGTCAGTTTAATCTTGTTTAAAGTGGACTGAGATATTTGAACTCAGCCTGTTGTAATTAATCAATTAATCACATGATAAATTAGAATCAGTTTAATATTTTCCATTTGCATAATTCATTGTTTTTCTCTTTTGTCTCTTTTTACTAAAATAGGCCTCAACTAAACCTTTTTAAAGGACAATTTTGTTTTTAAACATTTCATAATGTATTTGATTTGTTTCTGCTTATTTTGGATATTTAAAATGTCTTCCAGTTCCAGTGTTAAATGTTAATTCGAGCTTAAAGTTTATTGATTTTTGATCATGTCTTCTTGCAATACTTGAAAACAACATTATTATCGATTATCACAATGACTTTCGGGACAATTTATCGTCCAGAAACATTTGTTATTGTGACAGAAGACAATTTAAACTACAAACTAGACAAAAATACTTCAGCCTACCTTATGAAGTAAAGTTCCCTGTTTTCCTTCATGTCCATTTGCCATATATTACATATTCTACTTCATCCTTCATAACAACTCATGAATTAGGAAGCCAGGTGGAGTTTTCTGGTCATCTTGGACGTTTACTCACCGCTTCGCTTCTGCGTGACGCCCGACCCCATCCTGATCACCTCACAAAGCAAGGTCATCCCAAAGGCAAAGAGTCGCAGATGCATCTGGGCTACTGGCGAGCGCCCGCTTCAGCGCCAGGCTCCGGACATCTGTGGGGTTTCCAGGGACGGCAGGTTGGGAAATTTAGCTCCACAGTGAAAGATGAAGCGGAGCGTTGGTGGGGGCAGAGGAGAGGAGAGGTGAACGGCTGGGAGAAAGCTGAAGGAATGGTGGGATGGATGGAGGTGAAGCTGAGGAGATAATCTTGCAGAACCGTCCTCCGTTTCTCGGATTTGATTTAGAGAAGACAGGAGGTCGTAAACGAGCACAGCACCAGAGAGGCTGAGGGGAGCAAAAGCCTCGTCCAGACTGCCAGTTTGGAGGGAAAACTCAACATTTAACTACCACTGTCAAATTTGGGATAAACGAGCTCCACTTATCCCATCGCCATCTTTAACCCTTTGCAGGGCGAGCGCGCTCGGATCTTAAGTGGTTCCATATTTGCAGCCCCCTCCTCCTGGCTCTACCTATTGTTGTTCAATCCCACGTTTGTTTTTCATGCTCACACTCTGCAGGTTTGCTTTCTGCGGCAATGCTATTAAATGTGAGGATAGAGTAAAGTTAATTTGACCACCCTGAGAGAAAATCAGCTGGAGAGCAGCAGAGAGGAGAGTTTACGATTTAATTGAAGCCTGCTGGGTTTTTTCTAAAGAGACTTGTGCTTGTTAGAGTCAGGTAAGCACAGAAACAAAATCTACCTTCCTGACTTACGAACCTCATGGTACTTTAAACGTAAAGTACATCAGATAAATTAGCCGTGAAAATACATCGAAAACTAGTTGAACTGGCTTTACTTCACTGCAAAAACAGAATCTTACCTAGCATTTCAGTCTATTTCTAATGAAAATGTCATGTCACACTTGAAATGAGACAAAACTAACTCATAAGCAACGTTACAGCAAGATATGAGTCAACAATTCCTTTATATTTTGAAAAAGTACTAGTTCTAAGTCAATACTTTAATTGGTATTGACTTAGTAAAGGTAATATATCTTGCTAAAAAGTTACTTCTAAGTTAGATTTGTCTTATTAAAGGTGTAATAACATATTTGTATTAGAATCTATAACAAATTATTGGATTTTGTTTTTATAGTGTATAAATTGGCTTAAAAAACAAAACAAAAACAAGCAACTTTACTTCATTAAGAAAAACTTATTATTATATACCTGTTTCATATCAGTCAATAAAAACTATCCCTTTGTTGCTGACAGGAGATTAGCAAACAAAATAAAACTACTGCACCTATTTTATATGAAAAAGGGCAGAATTTTTTTATTGCAGGTAATAAAACACAATTAATTACCATAAAATATATAAATCTGCAGGTCATCCCTCAAATTCTCATGTAAAAGTGTAAACTGTGTAACAAACACAATAAAAACACGTTATCTACAGGATACTTCACTAAAACGACACAACACTAATTATATATTGAATAAAATATGTGTCAATTAGTGATATAGACCTTTGCATTAGGGAATAGATTCAGCAAGTACTTTTACCTTCAATATTTTAAGTATCATTCAAAAGAAATACTTACTTTTACTCCAGTAACTTTAACTAGAGTACATTTTTGTCTTTAATTGTACTTTTAACTAGCTAAAAGTATAAATGTATATGCATACTTGTTGATATTTCTGTATACGGTAGATCATGACTCAAAAACTGCAAAAACTCAACGGAAAATGTTTTATTTTTCTGTTAAATACAAATAAATGTATCTAAAATAAAGATTTTTTTTTGTCCTGATATTTCAAGTGCCATTATTTGGGCTTAAACTGAAGATATATTCAGCTATACAAAAGTTTGATTTATGTTGATTTAATTTAATTAACATAAATCAATTGTTTGTTCTCTAAAATGAATTTGTTGTTAGTTATAAATTAACTTAATAAAATATGATGTTTAAACGCGAGTCTGAAGAGTGACAAAAACAACTGCATCACGTGATAATGGTTGTGGCTTTGGGCTTGACTCACTGCTGTTGTGTGTTTGGTTTCATGTTTTTTTTTTTTTTTTTTACCATGTTTGATTATTAGTTTTTTATGTCAAGGAAGAAGTTTTACTACACCACATTTAATGTTTTATAGGTCTTAATTTTTTTAGGTAGGTAAAAATGTTGAAGTAATTGGAAAAATATTTCAGTGAATCAGAGAAAACAGGTTTGCCAAATTTTCCCAGGAAACGTAATTTTTAAAGTATTTATATGTTACTACAGCTAAATGTCAATTGAAGACAGTAAAATATATAAATGATTACTATTGTTCAGAGATGATTCATGAGATAAAACTTTGAGTTTACCTCTGCACCCATTTACCTTTGCACGAATTGCTTTGGTGTGAATCTGGTTGTAATCTTGGATGTTTTTGACCTCAACCTTTATTAAGAATTTAATAGTAAACTGTGGTTTGTGGTGAAATTGGAGGCCAAAAAAGGCAAATGTGCTGGTGTAGCTGTCGTTCTAGTGAATTAGAACAACGTTAATCCAAAAGCAAGGTAACAGCAGCCTCCTCAGCGGACCTTCTGAGGAGAAGAGTCACCAATTTAAACGTGAGACAAAAAATACGCCAACATAACAATTTGTAAGATTTGTCCGACAAAGAGCAGGTTAGTAAAGAACGCACTGACAGGACTAATAAACCGAGGTTAACTTCAGGAAACTGCAATTAAAGAGAACGATTAAAAAAAACAGCAAGCAAACACACAACAGACGAGATTGTTCCTACACTGGATCACACTGTCCCTGTTTTTAACAGTTCAGACGAGATATTTTCCTCTTCGTGTCCTACTAACGTCTCCAAACGATGCTGAAGTTAACAGTGAAGGAGAAACAACTTCATGTTGTCACTCATATCAAGTGAGAGACAACAGACTGGTGGCTTAGAGATTAGAAAAATCTGGAATAATCCATCCATCTTTTATCTTTATCTAATGAGGCCGTTAGGGTCAAAGTTCAACAGAAACCGAGACATTCACCTCCCCAAAGATGACAAATTAAGACCATAAATTTAAATCATGAAAGTTTTTTTTAGAAAAAAAATTGGAAATTTCTGAGTTTGGAAAGCTGAAAATTTGCTGAAATTTTTAATTTTCTGGAAAAGACATTGAAATTTCTGAACTTGAAAAGTTGAAAATTTGCTAGAAAAAAATCTAAAATTTTGATAATTAACTCAGAAAAAGTGTCCAAAAGAGTGTAAATTTACTAGTAAAAAACTTTTAGAGGTTAATTTTTGAAATTTCTGAGCTAAAAAAGGTAAAAAGTCTGCTAGAAAAAAGCCTGAGAATTTGATATTATGGAAATTTCTCAGCTTGAAATGTAATTTTCTAACATAATACTTTGAAACAGAGATTAATCTGTGAAATTTAGGAAAAACCTGAATTGATAATTTGCCAGAAAAACAACTCAGAAATGAATACACATCAAAAGTGGCACAAAACAAACCATTTAAAAGTATTTGGTGAAAACAAATCCCAACTACTGTTTGAATAAAAACCTGTTCAGTTTGGAATGATCAGCCTTAGCGCCGTTAGCGGCTAACTGTTAGCGGCTAACTGTTAGCGGATAACTGTTAGCGGCTAACTGTTAGCACGGCAAAGTATTCTTACAGTTTTACAATCTGTTTGTAATTTTTTTCCATTTGTTTCTTTTTACGTCTGGGTACCAGAAATGATACCACATGATAAATTTAAAAGTAGTTGGGACTTCTTCAATGTATTTTTGAATGTATTACCTTCAGGGAATGCAGCCCGCTATCAAAGAGCTAACTACTTCCTGTTGTGCATCAAAATGTGTCAAAAACATCACCCTTTGTTTTTGGTCTTATATTAACAGCTTAATCTAAAACAGCAACCAGATGTTGCTTTATGAAACAATGTTCACCTTGGTTAGAAGAAATAAAGCTTCTTTTTTTTTTTATCTGTTTTTTCTTTTTTTTTTACCTGTTTTGGCTGCTAACACTTTTCTTTCTGTCAGATTTACCAATATTTCTCTACCTTATACATATATTTATCACCATCACCTTTATTAAAAATGTTTTTCTATGTTTATGATATATTAAATATTTACTCACAGTAACCGACTTGTGTGTTCAGCTAAGGCCTACCAGCCTACGGCTATCATGTCATCTTTGTTTGCTAAATCATTTTTCAGGCTCCTCTGAGCCAAACCTGAAACAGTTTGGCAGACTCTGTCTTCAGTTTTTACCAGACAAACCATATAAGGTGAAAGAAAAGTGAGATTTTTTTTACTTTTTCATAAGACTCAGAGTTTGCATTGTATGACCTCTTAAAAGTGTAAAATGTCAGAGGCTGGTCGTACAAATCCATAATTTCTTCCCTGTCATAAAAATGATTGATTCAAAACAAACGCACCCTCACCAGGTTTCACAACCATGTGTTTGCTGTTGGTTGGCATGGTCGAACATTAAAAAAGACTAAATTGTCATTTCATAATGGGAAAAATATGTTTTTATTGAGGAGAGATTTCAAAAACTACATAAATAAGTCACTAAAGTATGCAGAGCTCAGTGTATTAGAGTCCAAGAAGCAATTAGGTGAGGGCCCATAAAAGGTTCTGCACACATGCTTGAAAATAAAGGAAAACATTTTTTATAAAATGATATAATGGTTTGTTTAGCAGAGATCCTTTAAAAGCCAGATTCTGTTTTTAAAAAGTTAAGTACCGGTGCATTATTTACAACCAGTCTTCCTATGATGTTGGGATGTTATGTAAGATAAAAACAGATTATGCAAATATTTTTCAACCTATTGTCACAACTGATATTTTCAATGTTCAAACGGATAAACTTGGTTTGTCATAATTCTGCAGCAGTTGATCATTTTCTTGTAGAGAATACAAAGGGCCACTAACTGAAGCAGTTTATTAAAATGCCAAGTGCTGCAACATCTTTATTGACTGATAAATCCTTATTTGGACTACAGACAAAGACCTAACCATCTGTTGACAGACTGCCACTAAACACATTGTTAGCACATGCTTAGCTC